GCAGAATAAAGGAAACAATATTGATACATAATTGTCATCAGTAATGAAATTATGTATTTGTTTACCTCTGACCTCACACACTTGCACTCAAGTGAGCATGGTAACACAAGAACGGGTACCAGCGAATGTTCTGAAATGGTAATCAAATTTACATCAGGGTATCATGTCAGAAATGCATATCTCTGCAGATACAGTTTTGACATATGTCCCTCATTGACACACAACAGCATACTTTTTTTTCAAATTTAGCTCACAAGTTATTGTTCATAAATTTCAGTAATATCATGACTTTAATTTAATCATAAATCTGAAGAAAAAATGTGATGTAAAAATTATAAACAGAAACTATTAAAGACCAGTTATTAACACTATATTTTCCAATTGACAAAGACAAAACAACTGACAAGTTTACTTGTAAAAAGTTCTTTCATTTCCTATAAATTTCTGTAAAAAAAAAGGATTTTGAATACTTGTGTAACCTTTTAAAGCACTAGTCATCTTGTATCAAACTTATACAAATTTATGTGAATAGAACACTTAGAAAATGTTTATACTGTACATTGAATAAAGCTGAGGATGAGATACACTTTGTGACTGAATGTCCACTATATGTTGATAATAGAACTGAGTTTTTTACTGAAATTTCATTAACCTGCAATAATTATCAATCTTTAGACAAACTTTTGAAGTTTACAATTTCTATTTACACAAGAAAATTTAGATGCATATAAATGTTTGGGAAAGTATTTATCTAAAAATCTGGAAATAAGAAGAAATTCAAAGATAATAAATGCAAATTAGTCATACATATATTTTACTTACTTTGAGTAGTGTATTTTATAGATGTTATTTGTATTATCTTGTTCTGTCCTGGCCTTATATAACAGTTATTGTAAAACTGTGTTTTCTTTTATGTTTCTCAATTGATGTTGAATCTTATGTATTTGTATGTTATGTGATAAAAGCTCTTTATAGGGCCCTTTAATTGGAAAATAAAATATTCTTATTCTTATTCTTATTCTTATACATGTTATACTTCGTTTTTATATTGGTACCATTTAAGCAACACCGGTACTTGGCTAATGAATGCTTTGCCAGATTTTGGTTTCCTGATATAAAAATTATTATTATTGATACAAGTCATGGTATATATGATTATCTTTAATGCATCAATTTATTTAGAAATACTTTGTGGTTTATTATGCCCAGATAAATTTGTGTGGCTGTGGTTAACCAAATATTACAGTGTTAAAAAATTAAAAACTGATACTAATTTACTTTTGATGCTCTTGGATGATAACAACAATCCATAATGACAAATTGACAACCACAATACCACAAGCTATCACCGTTTTGTATATATATATATTATTTTATAACACTGACAGTATATAGTAAAGTTTATGAATGATTGACAGGAGATGGGATCGTGGGAGGTTGACAGATAACCATAACGGATTAGCAAGCAAAAGATTTGCTTAGACCAGTCACCTACAAAAGTGAATTGCATATAGGTGTGAAAAATGTCCTTCATTTCAATAGATTTATGGGAGATTTATAAAATGTAGCACTCAATGTATAAAAGCTTATATTTGACAGTTAGATAGGAATTGAAAATAAGTACCTTTAATATGACTCAGAAACTAGTAATGATGCAGTGAGAAATGATTGTAAATGTTTTCTTTTTGCACTTGCACTACTAACATTGATGACAAGACTTAATAATTATGGCTCTCCTAGACCAATTGGTAAAATTTCTGACCAAATGAACAGTTTGATTTGATGAAAAAAATTGGGTCAGAATTTTGAAAGAATTGCAATAGTTTGAGAGAAACATTTACAGTCATGTCACAGTTTATCCTTGAAAAACAGGAATAAAAAAAGAACCTAGTTTAAGATTGACCAAGCTAAATTGTGGTAATTTGCCAAGTGTGAAACCATAGATGTATAAACCCATACATCTATGGTGAAACAAATTAAAATAGATTAATTTTAACAAAGTCATATCATTACATCAAGTTTTAAGAACAATAACCAGGTTGATTTAGAGTTGAACATTTGAATGGATGCTTGTCGATCTTTGTCTCTTTAAGTTGTAGATCATAATTAGTTTCATTGTTTTATTGATGAGATTAACAATTTGCAAAGACATGATAAAAAAAAAAAAACCAAGAAATATAAAATCAAGAACTAATTTAACTAGGTCGTGTGCTAGGATGTTATTGATAAGTATGCAAACACTTTAAATGTACTATCATGTACCTGTTGACTTTGGAATAGTAAAAAAGTAGGGCAGGAACAGCTAGAAAAATACAAATCCTAAGGGAATATGTGATTCATAATTTGGAATTCGGGGACATACCAGAATTTTTCTGTATGAGGTAATGCATTCATAAATGAAAATTTCTACTTTTTAGCTAAATCTTTGACTCATGGAAATAACCAGAAACTGTTTTCAAACAGTAAAGGTCATTATGTCATTATATTGGCTCCAGAATTTTCATGCTTTTACTGACTCACACAGTTTTTTTTGTGTCAATTGGCAAAAAATGTAAATCTGAATTTTGCTAAAATAGGTATGATGGCTTTGGGTAATGGAGTACATGTTTAGTTCTTTTAACTCCTATACTTATTGTACTAAGAAACTTTTCATGATGTATTAAAAATAATGCATATTTTAATTATGGTAGCTGTTAAAATTTTTCTTAACAGTAAGAACATAACATTCTTTTTATCATTTTATTTATCATTATCATTACCAGATTCTATAGATCTGTCATAGTAGTTAAAATAGATTTGCAAAATTTTGCATAGTATAATTTAATGTGTCAATTATCTAAATCATTGTAATAAATTACTTTGCTCTTCATGGGCCCTTTATTAAATTGGAATAAAAATATCTTATCTTATCTTATCTTATCTTATCTTATAAAAACTAAAAAAAAACCTTTCTTGTTTATAGAAAAAGATACAAATTTTTTTTTTTTTGAAAACTCCATTATTGTCTCATTGAGTTGAGCCAAACTATTTTAAAAGTTCAAAAAGAAGGTTATGACTTAAATTAACCTTTAAAATCAAATATGTGAAAAGGAGTCATTATCAAGTCATTGCATTTTTACCATGCTTTCCTTATAATACTGGCAACACTGTACTATTGTATCATCCATTTTACTCAGAGACTTTTAGAAATGCTATTACTGAACATATAATCATTGACTGAAGAATATCTTGTGATAAGCCTGCTCAGAAAGATTTATATTTTGTGGTAAACATGCTCATGTGAACTTTTGTACCCTGTGGTTAACCAAATAAGAGAGTACCACAAAATCAAAATTGACATCAATTTAATTTGCTAAATTGTCAATGTTTAAATCTTAGATACATAACTATAAACCACTACAAAACAATAAAATATTAATCCACAGGTTTAAAACATTAAATGATTATATACATTTTTTGCAAAGGGTGAGCATACTAGAGAGTACTTTGCAAATATTGATTTCTCTTTACTTTTCGGTAGGATATGTCATTTAATAGTATGAATAGCTTATTAAAATCAAATCAAGATTAGATGCTTAAGAAATTGAAATGCAATCTGAGAATTGTTGACTTTAATATGTGTTACTTAAAATATTTAAAGGAAGAAAAAAGATATGTAAATCTTATGAAATTTCATTATAGGTTCTTGTTGTCCTTGAAATAAAACTCCTTTAATGTCACACCGGGTTTATCGGAACTGTTTTTGAAGCTACAATAGGCACTTACATAATTATTTGAATTGGAAATCATTCTAAAAAAAGAAAAGTTCAATTTAATTCCCGGTTGGAGGAAGGTTTAGTTCAACCACACCTGTTTTAAGTTGATTCACACTGTTTATGCTTGTCCCAAACAAGGATGATGTTTCTTAATGATTGTTTTAAACTTTTTATGTCATTGGTTTTTTTTTTTTTTTTTTTTTTTTACATTTGCCTCTGATAACTAACGTCCAATGTTGAAATGTGAAAGGTACTCCTTAAAAATGTTATTTGAATGATACGTTCTCTCATTTAATGCTGGCCTTTTATTGATTTATTTTATGGCCCTGCCACTAAAATTTTTGGTATATTGGTGTATAACAATTACAGATCAAGTTTGCATTTCATTCAGATTGACCTAGTTTTTAAGAAATTGCAGTATTTGGACATAGAAAACTTGATAAAACATATATTTATTTGGACTTTTTTTTGTAGATCTTCAGCTTTCTTTTGGTTCATTAGTACATAATGTTGACTAAGAGATCAATTTTGCATTTGCTTTTAGTTGACCTGCTTTTATTGAGTCCCTTCATTTTATTTTTGGTAATTAACATTTGCAAGCCATACAACTCTTAATCTTGCTCATGTTATCTTTTCCTGAAATGTTCATGTAACAATAAGACTGCAGGAAGGGACATTATTGTCCTACCAATATATCGAGTTTTGATTTCAAATGAAACCACATCTCGATCCTTATATTATTATTTATAGAGCACGGCAGAATTTAATAAAAAACTTATCAGAAACATATTAGTAAAATTAAGTATATTTTTTATAATATTATCTAGAGATACAAAAAAAAACCAAGAAGTCAAATATAAACAGACAACACCATAATCAAATAGAAAAAATATGCAAATTAAGACAAACAACAGCCACCAGACACCCCACATGAAACTATATATTGACTAACTTGAACCAGACACCTCGCAGAAAACTAAATATTGCCTTACTTGAACTTGTAAATCTGACAAATGAAACATTGCCATGGTCATCTTTGACAGATATTCCATAACAAGCAACCAAATTAAGATTGCCTCTGTAAAACTTTCAAAGTGATGACTTCAGCTTTACAACTTGAAACCCTTGTTAATATAGCATCTTTGTAAGCAATATGACCCTCTGTTAAGAAAATCATGATGGGGGAACAAAAGCTGTGGAATTTCAAATTTATTTCAACTGAAGCATCTTATTTTTCTGTTAAATCATGTTATAGATGTCTACAGTCCTTTGTGAAAGGAAAACAATGTGATGATGACAATTATGATTTATACTTACTGGTATTATGGTAACAATTATTTACAATGGGACATTGCCTTTTATAGAAATTTATCCACAACAATCAAGGATCTAAATTATAAAAAGAAGATGTGGTATGATTGCCAATGAGACAACTCTCCACAAGAAACTAAATGACACAGCAATTAACAACCATACAGCCTTCAACAATGAGCAATTTATGTACAAAATAATGAACCCAAAAAACAAATATGTTAAACGCTTTTTTATAAAAATTTAATATTACATAAATAAACATGAATATTTACAGCAATGCATAGTAAAATGGGGAGTTAATAAATAGGCCATTTTTACAGTCAAATAAGACTAACACACATATGAGATGGACATAAACGTAATGATATTTATGATGGCAGTATATTAACATAATACAAAACAATAAGCCCTATCAACATTTGTCATTCTTTTTTCCTATTTCGTAGTTCCCTCCTGTCTAGGAGCACTCGGATGACACCGATAAATTAATTTAAATTATTACAAACAAAATGATATTTAATTAAAAACTGATTGTTGTTTGTCTTAGAGATTTCACATAGGTTTTTTCATACTGACTATCAACTATCTTCAAAATCCTACAACCTGAGTATAATTATACTAGCTTTACCAATATCCACCTCTCTGACCTAGTTCTTATGACCGGTTCTCCAAAAGTAGAGGGTGTTTTGTGAAATTTGCTTGATTTAAAACAAAAATAATGTGACTATTAATAACAAGTTGTTTGGGATGTCAGTTTCCAATCAATTTCTTCACTTAAAACTTATATTGTTATATTTTAAATGGGAAACTGGCAAAGTATTTTGCCATTATTATGGTCATGAGGTAACAATTATTTTCATTATAAGCAGAAAGCAAATTTGTAAACTAATACTTGGAGTAATTTGAAACCAAGTGTAAAGAAACTTATACTTTCATAGGAAATAAGAATTTTAAAACTCATTGACCTAATTTGAGATGTTGTTATAACACCCCTTTTCTTTTCAGTTCATGATTTGTAATTTCAATAGATATTTTGATCCCAGCCACTGTGTCCAGAGCAAGTTTATTTTTGTCATTTACACACTGTGTTGCCTTTTTCTGCAGGTAATTGCTTGCTCTTTTACTCCATGGAATAATAAGGTTACTGTCACCTAATCTCAAAATTTTGCTATAATCATTTAGGTCTGTTAGAAGGATAATTGGTCTTGTGTTCAGTTGACATGTGCAAGGTACTTGGAATTGAACCTTTCGTTTTTTAAAAGTTTTCTTAGAGATCAAATCTTTAAGTATGATACCATCCACTGTCGTTGTGTTACCAGCCATTGATGTGTTTATATTAGCAATCTTCAGAACTGAAAGTAAAATTTATGTTTTATTTAAAAAGCAAATATGTCTTTCTTACATTTTTTGAAATGTCTATTTTTATTGTTAGTCAAACTATGAAAATGATGAGAATATTGGGAATTCTTCAATTATTTTTTTTTGTAAAATTTTTAGAAAAAGACATGTTTCTTCAGACATCTTGTTTTGTGGTCCCTTTACAGCATGTCAAATGTTTTAAGTGTTTTATGTTCTATTACAAATACTAGATATATTTTTGCATTCGAAGACAGTATTCAATATTATAATAATAGTTTAAAAATTATTCTTGCATTTTTGTCGAGCCTGCGACTTTTGTCGCAGAAAGCTCGACATAGGGGTAGTGATCCGGCGGCGGCGGCTAAGGCAGCATTAGCTAACTTCTTAAAAGCTTTATATTTTAGAAGGTGAAAGACCTGGATGCTTCATACTTTTTTATATAGATGCCTTATGTAATTAAGTTTCCGTCTGTCACATGTCCATTGTCCTTGACCTCATTTTCATGGTTCAGTGACTACTTGAAAAAAAAGTTTTTTTGTACTGTTAATTTCTCTCTTATTATGAGTAATAGGATAACTATATTTGGTATGTCCGTACCTTGCAAGGTCCTCATGCCCGTCAGACAGTTTTCACTTGACCACGACCTCATTTCATGGATCAGTGAACAAGGTTAAGTTTTGGTGGTCAAGTCCATATCTCAGATACTATAAGCAATAGGTCTAGTATATTTGGTGTATGGAAGGATTGTAAGGTGTACATGTCCAACTGACAGGTGACATCTGACCTTGACCTCATTTTCATGGTTCAGTGGTTATAGTTAAGTTTTTGTGTTTTGGTCCATTTTTCTTATACTTTATGCAATAGGTCTACTATATTTGGTGTATGGAATGATTGTAAGGTGTACATGTCCAACTGGTAGGTGTCATCTGACTTTGACCTCATTTTCATGGTTCAGTCGTCAAAGTTAAATTTTTGAGTTTTGGTCTTTTTTCTTATACTTTATGCAATAAGTCAACTATATTTGGTGTATGGAAATATTCTATGATGTACATGTCAGTCTCGCAGGTTTTATTTGACCTTGACCTCATTTTCACGTTTCATTGCTCAGTGTTAAGTTTATGTGTTTCAGTCTGTTTTTCTTAAACTATAAGCAATAGGTCAGCTATATTTGTTGTATGGAAGGATTGTAAGCTGTTCATGTCTGCCTGGCATGGTTCATCTGACCTTGACCTTATTTTCACGATTCATTGGTCAATGTTTAGTTTTCTTGGTTAAGTCTGTTTCTTAGAAACTATAAGCAATAGGTAAACTATATTTAGTGTATTGAATGATTGCAAGGTGTACATGTATTTCTCGTTTGGTTTATATGACCTTGACTTCCATTTTTTGGATCATGTTAAGTTTATGTAATAGTTGTAGTAAAGCTTTCATTTAGGACTATCAACATAATATCAATGGTTAGTAAAGAAGGCGAGACATTTCAGCGTGTGCACTCTTGTTCTATCAAATCTAGTAATTTGTTTTAAACTTACCAAATCGTTTACATAGATTAGTAGCTGACTCCAGAAATAGTATGACATTCTCGATGCTGTGTAAGTTACAGTAAGAACATATTCCATAGTCTATATGCCTAGGCAGTGTAGGAGGGAACTCATCTATAAACTCCGCAGTATTTTGATGACAGCTGTTAATATAATGTAAAACATTTAAAAGTCAGTATCTAATTTCAGATTATGTTTGACAAAGTCTACAAGAAAAAGCCTGCCAAAATCCAAATAAGAATTCAAAATGATTAAATGTATTAACATATTTGCAGTACATTTTATTTGTAAGCATCTAATTCTACTTTTTTGTAATACTATGTAGTATTTTATCTTTTAATTTTTCAATAGTTTTGACTTGAAAGTAAGCTTACCAAAGATGTAAATCATTTCTGGGATATAAATAAAAGTTAGTTTACTAACAGTGAAAAGTTTTAGAATTCATATTACATCAGATTAAGTTATTACCAAGTTTATGATGTCCAACTTTATTAATAATGTGCTGTTGTGAATATCAAAAGCTTAAGCATTTAATCTTTATATAAAGTATTTACTATTTCCATGTTTTTATATATTGTTATTGGAAGCCCATTAAAATACATTATTTTCTTACCTCTGTTTGTTTGTTTTTAAGTAAATTGTGTTATCACAACAGATCTTTGTAGTCTTGTTATAACTTTTTATTCCACAGCAATCTCTTCCTTCATCTAACCCCATCTTATCCAGAACTCCTCCACAGCATAGGTCTGAGGTCTCATTATATTGGTCATTACCACACATATCAGTTTTATTAATAATACCACCCAGCTGGCATCTATGTGTAATACTTGAATAGGACTGACTTTTCTCAAGGTGAGCAGGAACACAGCATGTGTCATGATATTCAACAGATTTTGTAATTATTTTAAATGTTTCACCATTGAAATTGTGTTTGGTGCAGCAAACATCTACATTGCTGTCATAATTGGTTTTTCCACAGCATTTGTATTCAGAAGATTTAACAATAATGTCACCTCCTGTTAAAAAAATATTTTTATTACATAAAAGCCCATCTGCATGCCTTATATTTAAATTATGGATTCCTTATATGGCAAACTGCACAGAAATAATCCATTTTAGGAAGCTTGAGATTATGTTTTGTCAAGTTGATGAGTTAGCTTGTTAGTTTTTTTCAAACCTCCAAAGAGGGAGATGGTAAACAATATGTCAGGGTGGTTATGGGCAATGAAACTTGGGTGGATGGCATGAATATTTTAAAACTACAATTATATCCTAATTGAAGTAAAATGAAGTTGCATAGCTGTGATAAGAATTAGTGAAAAAAATAAATATCATAGGAACAACAACTTTATAATTAAAAAATAATAAGAATAGTAACTCCTCAAATTGTGTGACAGTTTTCAACCATCCACACTGTACTGCATAAGAATAAGAGAAGAACTCAACACAGTAATCTGCTTGCATGCAATATGTAATCTGTTTAAAATAAATTATTTTTGTGGGCTTCAATTTCTTAATACTTCACCATGAAAAAGGTGTCATGACTAAGTTTTAATTGGAGTGAAACAAATGTGTAATAGATGTAGCCACACAAACTACTGGTCTTAATCAGTAATGATGTTATACTCTTTTAATAACCATATAAGTAATGAATTTTCAAATTCTGTATCAGTGTGATTTTTGCAGTGCTTAATCAGTACTTACCAGGTTTACAACACTGGTGAGAGGATGTGTTGTATATTACACTCCCACAACATGATTGGTATTGACTGTCATACAATCCATTCCCACAACAGTCCTCTGTTGATGATGTAATGTTGACAGGGAGCCCATTGCAACACTTCTGACTACTTGAATGGTAATGGCCTACATTAAAAAGATGTTTATGTAGAATAAATTGAATGCAGTTTTAGAAATTGTACATTCAGACCCTTAATTTTCAAAAGTTGAGTGAAAAATTTCAGATGTCATCCCTTCAAGTGGTCTGTTAAATGATAATGTGTTTGCTTTCCAACCTTTATATTCATCCTCCAACAAGTTCTGAGTGAAATATTAATCAAGAAATGTGTGAAAGAGATTACATTTTTAAGAAAGGAGATTATTGAATTTTCATAGATGTTGATATAAGTCTACAGTATCACTGTAGCCTATCAACACTGAGGTTGTGAGTTTGAACCCTGCATGTGACAGGTGAGTTCAACTCTGATGTTAATTGGCTAGGATTGCCAGTTTGACTGCCAAAGGTAGATGATTTTCTCTGGTCACTTTGGCTTCCTTCACCAATAAAATTTGGCCGCCACAAGATAGCCAACATAGGTGTTTGCACATTCATCCAAGGGTTTCCAACATACAGGAATCAGTCTACTTTTTTTAAAGCTATCTCGAAATACAAATCTTAAATGCATTAAATAGAAAATAGAAAAAACTACCTTTTTCACAGCACTCAGCATCATGTGGTATGGTAAAACTTCCATCACAACATTTTTCATCAACTGTATTATACAACTTTGTGCCACAACATTTATAATGCTCATCACTATCACTGACATTATATAAGGTTCCAGTGCAACATTTCTGTTTCCTTTTGTCATACTCAGTGTTGTTACATAAGGATTTAAACTTGGGTAAGACAATGCCTTTCTTTTTGTTTTTACAATAATGTGTTGTTTTGTCGTAATATTCAACCCCACAACATTTCATATGAGTTCCTATGCTGTGTGACCTTTTATTACCATTGCCATCACTACAGCAAATTGTTCCTTTGGGGTCAATAGGTGATGAACCACAGCAACTATTGATACCTGGATATGGAAATAAAATAAAAATACTATAAAGACTGATTGGAATTAGTTGCACTATGATGAAAGAAATAAACCACCATATTTATTTCTTTGATGGACTGAAAAAATTGAATAAGTTTTATTTTTAATAGAAATAAATAGATTGATCTTTTAACAAGGGCGTCAATACCTGTAAAAAAACTAAAGTTCTCCTGAAAAACCAGCAATTATGATTTTTTTAAAGACTACTTAAATGTTTAAAATGCTTTGAAATAACCTTGAGTTTATTTTTATTATTTCAAAAGGTCAAATTAAGATTAACACTAAGTTACCATATTACCATTTGTTTTGTTATGCAAGGTGTTGTTGCAGCAGACTTTTTCTGACTTTTTGTAAGAGAAAGCTCCACAACATCTTAATTCATTACCATCTTCTGCAAGCCTTTTGAACACAACATTTTTACAACAAATCTCAGTATCAACGATAAAGCTTTTTCCTAAAGATAAAAAATAAGTATGTAGTGTATAGCATGTATAGCATGTATAGGTATACTATAATATTTCATTTTTAAATCTTTTGTAGCCTGCAGGTTCAAGGTTATTTATCACTTCTATAGTCATACATTTTGTGTCTGTACCAAGTTGGGCAATCTGGACCAAGTGTTGTTTTATATTTATTTGTAGTCTATTTTCCTGGAGGAATCTGGTGTTGGTGTGGTCAGTTGTGCTGTCCAATATCTTTGGTAGCTCCTGTGATTCTTTTTTTATGTATTAGATTATGATGATATGTGGCAATAAGAAAACAACAACACTGTTCATAATTTTTTTTTAGGTTGTTAAAAAAAAATGATATCATTCTTATAAAAAGCCGACATAGTTTCTGAAAATGAGATTCAAGAGTACTAATTTTTAGAACATGAAAGTGTCCAGTCTGAAAAGACAAGCATAGAGTGTTGGTACCAGTACCAAAACATATCATTCTGATGGAATAAGCCATCCTTACTATGTTCTCTTTACTTTATGAAAGTTTTGGTGGATTAGATGTTTATATGATACACAATGTGTAGGATATTTTTTTCAGACATGCTGAATCATAAATATATTTGTTTTGTTTACGTGCAAATTGTCACTATAATATTATAGGAGAACTTGAACTATTCAAAAAATTGAACTGTCATCATCTTCCTATTTACATAATAGGAAACTTATATAATAACAAATATCCAATCAGTTTCAGAAGTAAAATCCCTACAAAACTTACCGCTACAGCAATCTAACTTCTGTCCATGTTCATTGAATTTGGATATTACTCCAAAATCACAGCACAGTTGTGTTTCTGAGTCATATTCATTCAGTGAAGAAATGCATCTTTCCGCTGCAACTTCTACAATCACTAATGTTAACACTGAAAATGATATAATAAGATAACAAGGTTAGCACAGGAAAACAATGAACGAAAACAAATATGATATACAGCAGCAAACGACAACCACTGAATTACAGGCTCCTGACTTGGGACAGGCACATACAGAATTGGGGGGGGGGGGGGGGGGATAATAGTCTATTATTCTTTCTATAGTTCACATGTATGTCTGCTTTCTTCAATTTATATCTATATTAAAGAAGCGATGAAGGTTTTATCATAATTTGACTTGTTCCTTGCTTCAACAACCAGACGATGAGATAGATTCCAATATATCAGAAGTGTTTGATTCTTATTTTTGCTCTTGACATCTCCCTCGGTAAAAGTTAGGTTTGTTCAGCTACATTTTTGATTTTATAGTTTACTTGTTTATACCCTTTTTAAAAGTCTTTTACTTTATACTGTAATTTTCAACTCTTTTTCATTTGAATATAAATTAAAAGAGATGTTGTGGATGTATCACTTGGATAGCAAACCAATGACCCTCCCCCTCCCCCCCCCCCAAAAAAAAAAAGAAAAAAAAGATAGGAATCAAAATAAAAAACAAAACATCAATTTACTGTGGACTTGTTTGTTATGTCTGTCAGTTTTGCTTCAAATTGAAGTTATAAAGAAACCCACAGAAACAAAGAAATGAAAACTAATTCCAAGGAAACACCAAATTCTTATTTTAAGAGGGAAAATACAAAGGAATCCAATTTATGAACATTAGTTAATGAGACAGCAACCCAACAACACAAAAATCCAATTGACTGATTAATATAATTGTTACAAGACCAACATGAATCACTGGTAAGTCTACCAGACAGTACTTAATTGAAATACATTCTATATGGAAGGATTGATTGAAGACTGCTGAACTAGCTCTAGTGGCTAAAATAACATCTTCAGGATGACATTAAAATGTGATATGAATATGGCAAGCTTTAAACTAGATTGACCAGTAGGTAATGTGCTTGCTAATTGAATATAGAAAAAAGAGAATCAAATGAATTGAGGAGAAATTATTAGACTGCAATCCAACAACACAACAATGTCATTGTTAAGCTCCAATGATGGCAAGCCTTTTGTATGGCAACCTCAAAATTAACTTGAACCAACACTAGTTGTTTGGAACTTAAAACACCAAATTATCAATTAAGGCAACAACCATAAAGTGACAGTGCAGATTAGGTCCAATATACATATATATGTTAACCTGACAACTTGACATCCTGTAGTCCAGTTTTTAACAATTTATAAGAATACTGACCTTTATTTTCATTTTTTGTTTTGTTTGGTTGCTGTCTCATTTAAGTTTATATCCAACATCTCATTTCATTCATATTAATTAAATGTTTTGGTAAACACATGAAGAAATAGACACTCATACATAAAAAAACGTTTGACAAGTTAACTGTGCCTAAGAGACACTTATTTTTTTTGACATGTATAAAGGAAATATTCATTTCAATTGAATTTAAAGTTAATCTGATACACATATAGATGTACTAGATAATATATTAACTTTGAGATATATAGGAAACATGTCCTTCACATAAATAAAAAGTTTCTGATCATTTGAAAGATATAAACAATTGTTCGTAAATTTTAAATATAAAAAATGATAAAATAAACAAAATAAAATTCTAGATAAGATATTCAACAAATATAGATATGAAGGACGTCTCTACTAGGAGTGCCTGTTTCGTAAATTGATCAGAACTTATATAGTTTATGTAAGATTTATATAGCGCCTTACCCTGGTGAGTGAGCAGTAGAGGAAAGATTTTCATTTTTGTGTTGATCTACTAGATTAATAACTGTTTTCCTTAGATCGTAGAAGTTGATATTGAATTTATTCCGTGTATACCGTTTATTTAAAATGACTGAAAATCCATAATTCTAGAAAACAAGAAATTTTCACATGTTCACAGTTTTTTTTAAAATATGAAAATGTTATTGTTAAAAATTGAATTTAACTAATTATAGGAGAATTTTTTCCATTGGTTATAGATATAAAATGTACTGATATAAAATTATATTGGTGATACATAGGTATATTTTTACATACTATACATTTCAAATAGCCTATTAATGTTTATGAAAGAATACCCATACCTCGAGTGTACCACTAATTTAGTGTGTGTAAGGTGTATTCTTGTTGGCCAGGTATAGCATAAAAATAGCAGGTGGGTGGTTTGGGAGAAGTGGGTACCCAACCCCCTATTTTGTGTTATCAAGAGCTCATACAGTTTTCAACCCATTTCCCTGAAATTTCGTAGGTAGATATCACACAAATTGAAGATGTGCACCTGCTATAAAAGATTTTTTTTTTTGGGGGGGGGGGGGGGGGGGGGGGTGATTTTTTCAATTTTCAGACTTTTGTTAAGTACCTCATTTTGTAAGCAAAAGAAAAAAGTTGGTACCATTTTCATCAGTTTCAACCCAGTTTTCTTCCCAGATTCTTGAAATGTTCATGACACATTGTACAAATATGAAGTTGTGAACCTGTTTCTATTGAATTTATTAAGCAATTTTTCCCATTTGTTTAAGCCAAATTTTCTTAAGAAGTGCCAATTGTTAGTTTTCCTGCTACGGTTTTCAACCCAGATCCTTGAAACTTCACAACAACCAAGCATTTTTGTAACTTCCAGACATAACTTGTGTGTTAGTGTATGGATCTCTCTGACATTGTACCACAAGGTTCCATATCACAAAAGGAATGCTGTGATTGATTTTGGGGGTAATTGCCTCAAAATTTTAGGAATTAGGGGCCAAAAAACAAGCATTTTTCAAGTTTCAGGACAATAACTTGTGTGCAAGTGTATGGATCTTTCTGAAATTGTACTACAAGGTTCCATATCACAAAGGGAAAGCTGGGTTTGAGTTTGGGGGTAATTGCCCTAAACGTTTAGGAATTTGGGGCTAAAAAGGGGCCAATAAACACATTTTTCTAGTTTCCAGTCAATAACTTGTGTTCAAGTGTATGGATCTCTCTGAAATTGTACTGCAAGGTACCATACCACAAAGGGAAGACTGGGATTAAGTTTGGGGGTGATGAATCATAAGGGGGTTCAAAAAATTTGGGGGGGGATTTTTTTTTTTTTCCTTTTTTTTCTTTTTTTCCTTTTTTTTTTTCTTTTAAATTTTCCATTTTAAGTTGGTTATTTCTGATTTATATTTAAAAGCAAATAATAATGATATGGTAGGAGATACACACCAAACAGGATGTGTAAATTATTATATAATAAGTATTGTGTAATAGCAAGAAATTTTCAATTGCACAGTATTGCACAATAGCAAGAAATCTTCAATTGCACAGTATTGCGCAATAGCAAGAAATCTTCAATTGCACAGTATTGCGCAATAGCAAGAAATATCCAATAGCACAATATTGCGCAATAGCAAGAAATTGTTAATTGTACAGTATTGCGCAATAGCAAGAAATATTTAATTGCACAGTATTGTGCAAAAGAAGATACTTCGTATGAATTGCTTATTTCTTGACCAATTTCAATGGGGTTTTATTCTTGAATTCTTGGGGTTCTTTAATATAATAATAATAATAATAATAAATTCTTTATTTAAAGGGTAAACTCAGTTAGTTACAATAAACTAATCTTCCCTGAGGCCCTCACATACAAATTACAATACAATCAAAAACAGATATTTACACAAAGTTAATTTACAGTCAATTAGTTCAATGTAATATTACTAACATGATAAGATATAAGGCTGTTCAAGATGTACATGTAGTCAAAAAATCAAATACAAATAAAAATAAAAGAATATACAAATACATTGTAGAAAATATAATCTTATCAGGACTGTGTTAAGTACTTCTTGATACTTTGTTTAAAAGTATAAGTGTTTTGAGCTTTACGCATTTTGTGTGGTAGTCCATTCCATAACACTGATCCAGAATAAACAAAAGATTTCTTAAATAGCTCAGCTTTTGGCTTAGGAACTATCAGATTACCTTGAGTGACGCCTCTCAGGGAGTAAGGATTATTATCTGATTTCAGTTTAAACTTTTGAACTAGGTACATTGGTGCTTCCATAAGCATACATTTATATAGAAGTAAATATTTGTGGTATTTTATTCTATTGTCAACTGTCATCCACCCAAGTTTTTTAAATAAGGGGGCTGAGGGGGATAAAGGATCTGCATCTAGAATTAATCTTGCTGCCCTTTTTTGGAGTTTTAAAATTCTTGCTATCCCTTCATTTTTACATTCACCCCAAATAATACAGCAGTAGTCAATCAGGGGCAGAATATATCCATTGTAATATGTTTTCCTTGCATTTATGTCTAAAAATTTCTTTATTTTAGAAAGAAGGTATATTCTGGATGATATATTAGCACAAACTTGGTCAATTTGATTTCTCCAGTTAAGTGTGCTGTCAATTTTAACACCTAATAATTTTTCACATGAAGAATTTTGTAATACTTTTGAATCTATTATTAAGTTTGGTTGATAAGTCTGAATTGATAGTTTCTGCTTTGTTCCAGTAACCAAACATTTTGTTTTATTTGCATTAATGAACATGTTATTCATTTTGCACCACTCTTCTGCTGAATCTAACCGTGTATTTAGTTTTTGGATTTTGGGCCCCGTTTTTAAATTGGTCCACATTGAGGTCCAAAGGGTCCAAAATTAAACTTTGTTTGATTTCATCAAAAATTGAATTATTGGGGTTCTTTGATATGCATAATCTAACCGTGTATTTAGATTCTTAATTTTTGGTTCCGTTTTCAAATTGGTCTACATTAAGGTCCAAAGGGTCCAAAATTAAACTTAGTTTGATTTTAACAAAAATTGAATTCTTAGGGTTCTTTGATATGCTGAATCTAAACATGTATTTAGATTTTTGATTATGGGCCCAGTTTTCAAGTTGGTCCAAAATTAAACTTTGTTTGATTTCAACAAAAATTGAATATATGGGGTTCTTTGATATGCTGAATCTAACCATGTATTTAGATTTTGATTTTTGGGCCCCGTTATCAACTTTGTCCACATTGAGGTCAAAAAGGTCCAAAATTAAACTTTGTTTGATTTCATCAAAAATTGAATTCTTGGGGTTCTTTGATATGCTGAATCTAACCATGTATTTAGATTTTGGATATTGGACCATAATAGGTGAATGTCCAATTTAAAATTTTTAAGTTCTTAGACCACATTCATTCTGTGTCAGAAACCTATGCTGTGTCAAATATTTAATCACAATCCAAATGCAAAGCTGTATCAAGCTTGAATGTTGTGTCCATACTTGCCCCAACTGTTCAGGGTTCGACCTCTGCGGTCGTATCAAGCTGCGCCCTGCGGAGCATTTTATTTTTTTATATTATAGACAATTCACCAATGTTTAAGAAATATTATAAGCAACCTTGGGTCATTTATGCCTTTGATCTTCTAACTTTTTTTTTTTAAAAAAGGTTCTAAAATGTTAGAGGTCATCCTTTAAGTGAGACATAGACATGCCATGCATGAGGAAGACAGTTTGTATTGATCAAGTAAATATTTGTTGTAAGAACACTTGATGGAAAATTGTGTTTTCAAATGTTTTTTTATTGGTCTTTGCTGTGTCATACTAAATAGATATAAATAAAGGAAAAGTGTCCTTCAAATTAATATATGTTTATAGTTTCCAATGTGTCATTTGGGCATTAAATTTCATCATTAAATATAAAACATAAACAAAATAGTTTATGTGGAACATGTTTGATCTATAAACAGTAAATCAATTTAAACTAATGATTTTATAGGACTTACTATGTCCTTACCAAGCAGTGATACAATGATCTTCATTTGTGTTCACTGACCATAGACATTTATATTCATTTATATTAGGATATTCCAATTTTTTATGATAGAAATTCCTTTGGATAATGTCCAGAAAAAATCACCTGTTTACTACTCGGTCAATAATAAGTTTGTAAATGGACCATGAATTTACTGATCTAATAAAAAAATTATAGGACCAGAGAACTAATTGTATTTTTTTAAATAACAATTTTCTTCCTAATCATCAATAATTAATTATAAATCAGCAATAATTAAATTATAAATAAACAATAAGGGTAAGTTGTATGGTAATGTATCTTCCCCATCTTGATTAAATGCTAATGTTGATTTTTATTTCCTCTTCATTTGGTGGGAAGTAATGTCTCATTGGCAATCATACCACATCTCCTTATTTTTATATTTAAAAGTTGATGCTTTAAAAACTGGTCAAACTTAAACCTGAAGATGTACAAAATGTATTTGATTATTCAAGTATATAAATCAGCAATGAAATGAAATATTGCCCAGTTTAGGTTATTGTACAGTTTACTCATAAGAAAAATTGAAATACTGTTGATTGTTAGGAAAACGAAATTAATTTGAATGAATGCAAGAATCTTTTACTTTTAAAATTTTGTTTTGAATAATTCCAAATTAAATTTTTTTTTTTATAAAAGTTGTTTTTCTCGTACAAGTTTTCCCTAAAAAAATAGCTAAAATTTTAGATTCTTTTCACCATAACATCAAATAAGCTTAAAAAAAATGGCAATTCTTTATTTAACAGAGATACAAAAATGTGGCTGGGATGATAATTTCTTGTGATCTCAACCATCCCCTGTTACAACTTCTGACAAGGTTCCTGGCCTGGGACAGGTATACAAAAATGTGGCTGGGATATGATAGTTTCTTGTGATCTCAACCATCCCCTGTTACAACTTCTGACAAGGTTCCTGGCCTGGGACAGACACACAAAAATGTGGCTGGGATAGGATAGCTTCTTGTCATCTCAACCATCCCCTGTTACAACAACTTCTGACAAGGTTCCTGGCCTGGGACAGGTAAACACAAATGTGGCTGGGATATGATAGTGACTTGTGATCTCAACTATTCCCTGTTACAACAACGTCTGACAAGGTTCCTGGCCTGGGACAGGCACACAAAAATGTGGCTGGAATATGATAGTTTCTTGTGATCTCAACCATCCCCTGTTACAACAACTTCTAACAAGGTTCCTGGCCTGGGACAGGTATACAAAAATGTGGCAGGGATATGATAGTTTCTTGTGATCTCAACCATCCCCTGTTACAATTTCTGAAAAGGTTACTGGCCTGGGACAGGTACACACAAATGTGGCTGGGATATGATAGTTTCTTTTGATCTCAACCCTTTCACAACAATTTCTGACAAGGTTCCTGGCCTGGGACAGGCACACAAAAATGTGACTTGGATATGATAGTTTCTTGTGATCTCAACCCTCCCCTGTTACAACAACTTATGACAAGGTTCCTGGCCTGGGAAAGGTACACAAAAAT